GGCCCCACCCACACTCAGTTGCTATGTTGAAACATACAAGTGTCACCCAAACAACATGTATAACTAATCTATCATTCAGTCATATATCATAATCAAGTACAACTCTAAGATACGGGCCTCGCCCACACTCGACTAATAAAAGATACGGGTCCTGCCCACACTCACTAGTCATGAAAATACATACAAGCTCTAAACAGACAACAAGTGTCACTAGCATATAAATATGTACCATATCAGGTATCTGTGAGATACAAGCCTCACCCACACTCAGCTACTATGAGATACGGTTCCCGCCCACATTCACATTCCTAACAACACATACAAGTATCACATAGACAACAAGTATCGCAATCCAATAATATGGTTGATATCTATACTCATATAATAATGAGATACAAGACCCGCCCACACTCAGCTACTAACGTATCACACATATATAGGCCGACCTTGGTGTCTTAGACCTGTTCCTACTGGAAGAGGACTCACTTCACGCTGCTGAAGTCCCGTGAATAAATCCTAGGCTGCTAGCTGACAGATCATCAAGTTGTCAACATCCAAATAAACCCAATTAATAATTAGATCCAAAATACATGCCCATAAGTCCTTGCTTGGGTAAAAGACTACTTTACCCCTAACTTAGCTTGATTCAAGCCCAAGGCCCAAATCCAAAGGCGTTACAAGATGCTTATGTGACGCCCAAAACTAACGTCACCAAGCGGTTAGTTAACGTGGGCGTGATCCTCCTAGTCAGAGGAGGCCACATCTGACCCTCATTGGACAAGGTCCCCATGACCCGTTAGAAACACGTATAAAATGATATTTTCCGCCTCAAGGAAGGGATCCATCTTCTCTCTCACAAATATTACCCTAAAATTACCTCTACTAGAAAACTAAATTGATCGTCAGAGCGATGTCCCATGAGAACACCCGGACGTCCTTTAACTATTCTTTTGTGTTTGTGTTCTTAAGAAAGCCTCCAAGACAGATCCATCATCCAACATCCAAACCCCTGTGGAACATGTCACAACAATTACATAACAAGTAAGGTAATATCCTAACCCTAATTTATACATGAATTTCGAAAATTGTATGTTGGATCTAGGGTTATTGCTTTGGTTTTTAATTTGCATGTTCAATTAGTGAAAAACTTAGATCCAAAGCAATTAGGGTTGCATGATCACATAGGAATGTTGATATGCTTATAACCCATCACTTTCTCCATCATTTTAAGGTTTAAAGTTCATACCTTGATGGTTAGTTTGCTAGATCTTGCTTATGTGTTGTTTTCATGTGATTTTGGTCCCAAATGTCTCATCTTGAGCAAGACATGTTCTTGACAAGTTGATTTGTCCTTTCAGGCCCTAGGAGGGGTCATAAGTCATAAAAAATGAAGCCCCATTGGTTAATTTTGCTCCATACATCTTGTAGAAGGTCTTAATGGGTTAAGACCTTGAGTTAAGCACTTAATAGGCATGTAAAGTCATAAAGTTGGAAACTTTATGACTCTAGAGTGTATTTTGGACATGGGTCAGAAGTTGGGATGTAAGAGCTTAAGCCATTAAGCTGTTAATGAAGTATTTGGGCTTGCGGGGGTACGCCTTGCGTACTCGGTCAACCACCCCGATGGTGGTCAACTGCGAGGGTTGGAGTACGCCCATTGTACCTCCAAAGTACGCCCCGTGTACTCGTACTAGGCCAACTAGGTTGGGTTGACTCAGTTGACTTAGTGGGTTTGACCAGTTGACTTTGACTTTGACCAAGTTTGACCTTAAGGGTATTTTAGGAATTCTAACTAAGTTTGGTCATATGGTTGGAATAGGAGGTAGTCGGAGCTGAGATTCAGTGTTGAGATTCCTTCGGCTTTTGTCCAGTTTGCGATGTGAGTTTTTCTCACTGTACTTGCGGGTTGAAGGCACCAAGGTCGGCCCATTGATTTAATATTATGATATTCACTGATATGTTGAGTATAGAAAATATATGCATGAGTATGCTAGTTAGTGATATGATAGTGGTATATCTGTAGGACTACCTGTGATTTTGTCTGCATGGTTATTTGTATATGTTGTTATCTGTTATATGTCGATATATTGTGGTGGGTTGAGGTTGTACTGCTCCGTACGGTAACCAACAAACCCTGAAGCATTCCAGATATGAGCTGAGGGTCGAACAGGGCATGCCATACTCATACTGAGGGCTCATAAGCATTCCATATAAGAGCCGAGGACCGAGAGGTATGCCAGACTCATACCGAGGGCTTGATGGTATTTAGTCTGAGGACTGATTTGGTCGGGGAGCAAGTCAGACATAAGTTGTGGGCCTCGAGGGAAAGCCAAATTTATGTTGTGGGCATAGGGATAATCTAGTATTTTAGTTGTGGACCCATTGCATGTTGTTATTGTATATGTGTTATTTGGTTATGTGTTGGTACTTTAGGGAGAATTCACTAAGCATCGAATTTTGGGTTATGTTTCAGGTACTTTGGATGATAGCGGGAAGACGAATGAGTGACCGTACACATCCTTTATTTATGATCTATGATTTTAGGAAAACTCTAATGTCATAAATGTTTTGAAAACTATTTCTAAACACTTTATGGTTTTGGGATGTATTTAAAATGTTTAAATTTACCTTGATTTTTATGGATGTTACAACAACACACATAACGAAAAACAAAATAAGTTTATTATGTTAGAATTTTTAATGTTTATATGATTAATATGGATGTATACAAACTTTTTATTGTGATTAATGTTCATTGAAATAAACCATAGCTTTTATACCAAATAAGAGAATATTTTAGAATTTTCTCAAATATGATAATATTATATAACATAAGGTATTTGCATATAAAATAAAATAAAAGCAAAACTAAAAGTAAATTACATGAATGGTCCATATGGTTTGGGGTAATTTACATGTTTGGTCCCTAACTTATTTTTCTAACCCAGACAATCATTATTATATGTTTTTCTTGCGTGCTTAGTCCGTATTTGACCTAAAAAGACTATTATACCCTTATTAATTTAATTTTTAATCAAAGTTACATTTTATATTAATTATTTATTGTTAAAAAAACAATTGGGACCACCACCTTTTCCAATCCCAACATAATCTCTCTCCTCTCTCTTTTTTTTTCTCTCTCTCTCTCTCTCACCCCACTCTCTCTCTCTTTCTCTCTCTCTCTCTTTCTCTCTCTCTCTCTCTCTCTCTCTCTCTCTCTCTCTTATATCATCACTCCACAGGAGTTCCCCACGTCAACTCTATCAATGTTACTTGGCTACCGATCAACCAACTAACAATCTCTTTCTCTCTTTCTTCCTCATCTCTCAAAACCTCAAACTCAAGAATATCTACAAGCACCACTCACCCTCCACATATCCTCTGCAACTGGAAAAACAACTATCAGATTCTCCTAGGGATGTCAATGGGACCAAATGAGAACAAGAATAACTGCCCCCGCCCCCGCCCCCGACATCAGTTACTGCCCCCGTACCCACCCCGAATCCCCTGTTTACATAGCCCCCAATCCCGCCCTCAAATACCTTCATTACCCCGATCCTGCCCCCCACCCTCGTTCCCCAGTTTTATAGGTTTAAATTTGATTTTTTTTGCTAATTTTTTTTATATATATTTTGGGCTAAAAAATACTTTTCATAACTTTAAAAGTTTGAAATCTAGTTTTTTTAACAACAAAAAAATTAAAAATCCAGCATTACAAAACAAATCGAACAAATTTACAAATATAAAATACGACAAACCCAATATTACAAAAAAGTATGATATGTCTAAAAATATATCACCAATTCATTATCGTATCGTCATACGATATGAAGTGAAAGAAAATCAAGAAAACTTAAAATTATATATATATATATATACACACACACACACACACACACACAAACGGGGTCCCCCCGCGGAAGTACGGGATGGAAATACCCACTCCCGCCCCCGGTTCCGAAAATAAAACGAGGTTTAGTCCCATTCCCACTCCCGAATTTTTAAAAAATTAATCTCGTATGGAATCAGGATCCCACAGAAGCTTTTGACATCCCTAGATCCTCCTATTCAGATCTTCATCGAAAAAAAAGCAGGTTTAGATCTCCACAAAAACCGTTGTGTCATCACCCCATCAACCCATTCTCCTTCCACTACCATGAAACCTCTTTATCACATATCACCAACAAGTTTTGAGACCTACAACTCCGACCAGATGCAAGAAATCTTTTTGGAAAATCATTTGCACAAATCGAACTCTAGATAGCCAAGTCCGACACCAATATACACAAAATCTAAAAATAAACAAAACCAATTTTGAAATTCATTTCAAAAATCGTTTGAACAAAATCCCATAAATCATTTTGAAGATATTGAGTTCCATAAATCTTTTGTAGATTTAAAACCCCAACCTCCTATCTTACCGTTCCATAAATTGTTTGTAGGTCGTGTTTGATTTTGTTTGTTGTTATTGGCGGGGTCGTAGGTGGTCGTCGATGGTGTTCTAACAGAATAAAATAATAAAGAAGTGAGAGTAGGTGGTCCGATGATAGTCTATCTGTTTAGAGAGAAGAGAGAAACGAAGTAGGCGCCTAGGTAGTGGTCCACAAATGGTTTAGGGTGGTCGCCGAAAGTGGATGTGGTGGTTGTCCCGACGGTTATTCACCGTAGGTAGAAAGAAAGCATGGTTGGGAAGGTTTCTACGGAAAAAAATAAATGTCTAGATTAGGAACATAGAATGAAGAAAGGGACGTGAGAAGAAAAGGATGCAAAAAGGTAAATGTGTAAAAAAGGTTGTGGGTGGGGCATTATTGTTATTACCATTCTTTTTTATTTATTAAAAAATAGAAATAAATAACATAAAATTAAAGAATATATATATTGAATGAAAAATAGTATTTTTATGTTTGATAAGGATAAAAAAATGCACCAAAAATAATTTAGAGACAGAATTATCTCAAACCATAAGGACCATTTGTGTAACTTACTCTCAAACTAATGAACTTTTGAGCTCCAAAAACTTCCCGGCAACTCTCCCTAGTTCCCATTTGACTCTCACCCCGTCCTAAAACCCTAACAATGTCTACAGAAACCCTAAAGCAATTCCACAGGCTTCCACAGTCAACCTACATAGACGCTCTCCGGTTTCTCCCTCCTTTATCCGCATTCGACCGCTACGTCGTTATAGCGTCATTCAATTCCGATACCGACGAAACCTCCATTGGGATCCATGCCTTAAACCCTACAGATGCACCGACTCTAACCTTACAATCCTCATTCCCAACATCGTCCAGGATATCCTCTCTAAAAGTTGCACAAAAGTCGCTCCAAAACCCCTTAATTGCTGCTTCCACCTTCGCTGGCTCCCTCCATATTCTTTTCCCAAACCCTATCGACGCATCATTTGAATCTGAGGTCTCTATAGCCGAAAAAACCTTGCATCTGGGACCAATTTCGTGCCTGGATTTGCAGGAAAATGGTTCCGCGTGCGTGAGTGTTGGAGAAGATGGGAGAGTGAACTTGATTAGCGTCGGTGATTCGGGTTTGGACTATCGTCGAGTTTTTGATAGCAAGGGGTTGGTTTCTTATACTGCAGCGCGATGGGCGTCTCCCACGGAGTTTGCTACCGGCGGCTTGGGAAATTCTCTTCAGTGGTGGGATCAGAGGAGACCTGGAGGGCCAGTTTCACAGTTCAAGGGCAACTGGTAAGTAAAATGCTACTTCATACTTCCCCAATTCCAAATGAAAAAGACCACTTCCTATATTCGTATGTAATGCTTTATAATATCCAAAACTGATAAGGTTTTGGATACTATCAGTATCCGCCATATCATTACATTCAAAATAAAAATCAGATCTCATTCTTCTGTTTTATGGAATGGATTGCACTTATTTGGGATATGCAATGCTATTGTTGCTCATTGTTTGTTTTGCTCATAGTTAGTTTTGTGATCGACTTATTTTCATATAGTCATTCTATCCAAATCCCCAAGAAAATGAAATATGAACAGCTTGTTCAGTTCCCTAGCGGATGGTAGTTTATTGCACTCATATTGTTATTTCAGCCCAAATGTTGGCAATGTGCTCAAGGCTTATGCCTTACAGGGTATAGTGCTATGCTTAAACCAATCATATCAGCTAAATCAAACAATATATGGTGGTGTAAGGAAGGTAGATAAGAATGAGACTCAATATAACAGTTTACAATGAGGCAAACCACCCAAGAGTACTCGGGAATATGTAGAGATGATAATCACAAAACTATATAATCTTATTAGTTATTAGCACTTGCTTAAATTAATCCAATTGATAAAAAGAATCAAAGAAGCATGGTAAAGGTTGTAATGCAGTAATGCCCATAGTTACCTAGATTGCTCAATAAGACGCGAACCCTAACCCTTTACCCAATCAAAATCGAAAACAGGGACGTCCCAAATCACTCGACCCAAATCGTGAAATCGAATGTTTAGATCGCTATTCAGAATGTCGTTTTGCAGATTGAATCGTTGAACCAACAACAATTGAAACCCTAATTTAAGGGTTGGTGTCGTTGATGGACGAGTGAGCTGTAATTTTTTCCGATCGACGTTTCAGAAAATTGCAATTGTCTCTTTGATTTCTTCTGCCAATAATATTTTTATACAATCAGACATGCATGTATGCTACTTTAATCATCCTAATTTCATCTACCACATTTGATTTCTATCTTTCTTCTACTCTTTTTGTGGTTGCCGATTATGGCTTTTGGTAGGAAAAACACTTCTCAATCTTGACCTATTCAATTTGGTAGTGATACTTAATCTGGTAGTGAGATAGAAGGTACTCATATTAGTGAAACACAAAACTTCACTGATCTTGAGGATGAGGTGCAACAAAGCCAATCGACAAGAACAACCGGAGCCCCACCCACTCAAGAAAAAGATGCAAGCAGACCACTTCTTGAAGAAGTAACATTTATTAAATCATCAGGAAACAATAAAAACAATGGAGGCACTTAGAAATGGGTCTGTAACCATTGTAAAGGGGAATTTAACCACTTATGTACCCAAATCCATGTGCGTTTTTTCGGGTCTTTAAGGAGGAAAAGTCAGGAGATTAGACGATGTCCAGTTATTTCTAGAGATACTCCAAAGTACATTGCTCTTTTTAATAAGGTTAAAGAAGGTGAAAACAATGGTGCTGCTGCCAAGTCATTGAAGAGTTCAGTCCTCTCAAAAAACGCATCTTTAAAAAGAAGGATTGAAGAATCATTTAGGATGCTTGAGAAGAATGCTATTGACATGAAGATAATTCGAGTCTTGTGTACTAAATGGATTCCATTTAATGTTTTACGAAACCCTTAATTCCTTGAAATGATTCAAGCCAACAAGAAAGCACCAAGCTATTACAAACCCCCTTCGTATGAAAAAGCTAGAACCTCATTACTTGATGAATGTGTGGAAGAAGTAGAGAAGGAACTTACACCAGTGAAAGGCATGTGGTTAACGCAAGGAGTATCCATTGGCTCGGATGGTTGGTCGAATGTAAAAATATGCCGCTTATAAATGTTGTTGCACAAAGTTTGCGTATGCGGAGGACTTTTCAGGGATTGTGAAGTCTAGGGTGGAGCTGGAAAACACTGCTAATTGCAAGTTAGCTGGACAGGATGAGAGTATTAACTTGGCTTTTCGACACATATAGGAGAGGTAAAGGTATTATCAAGTTTTTTTGTAAACCACACGCATGCCTTATCTTTTTTTAGAGAGGACTGAAAATTGCAATTATTGAAGGTTGCAAAAACACGTTTTGCATCACATTACATATTGTTGAAAGATTAATCGAGTGTAGGAGGCGCTTGCTACTACTATCATCTTAAACTCGTGGCGGGAATGGGTCGACAAAGGGGATGAACACACTCGGTTACCTAGTAATCAAATTGGTATATAATTAAAGATGATTTTTGGGATGATATTGATCATGTTTTGGCGATTACAAAACCTATCTTTCACATGATAAAAGTTTTGTGATGGTGAAGGTCCCAAAACGCGAGAAATATATAAACGAATGGACAATATGATAGGTCAAATCAAAGAAGCTATGACTATGAGGGACAATAAATTCTCATTGTATTTCCCTGAAGTTAAAGATATTGTTGTTGGTAGGTGAGACAATTCCATGTAATCAGCGATATTCAGGAGTCTGTTTTGGCGGTTTTCTGGTTTCTTGGGTTCAACCCATATACTCATGGGGTTTGGGTTTTAACCCATTTTCTAGAAATGCACAACACCTTCCCAGCCAATTCCATGTAATCATCAAACACCAAATTGAAGTTAAATACTTCAAAAAACACCAATTCTATGTGAATCTCTGCACCATTTCCCATTCATCTACAAATCAAAAAACATTAGTATTGATTATTGAGCAATGGTTTCTCGGTTTGTCAGTTTCATGTGTGGGTTGGTTTCTAGGTAAAAACCGAAACCGAAACTGATTGTTCGGTTCGGTTTTTAAAAATTTTAAACACTAACCGTCGCTTTTGCTTTGGTTTTGGTCGGTTTCTTTTTTCGGGTTTGCTCACCCCACCCAATGTCCCAATCCACCATAAATGCATGACAAATGCTTGGAATAATTAATAAACAATATTTTACTAAATATGCAGGGCTGAAGGAGCTTCTTCTGGCGTTGTACATTCTATCGATATTCATCCATCACGAAAGCACACGTGTCTGGTCAGTATTTTGTCTTGTTACTTGTTATTCCTCTAAATAATCAAAGTGGAAAAAAAAACTTATATATTTTTTTTCATATATTTTGAAGGCAGGAGGCTCTTACGGAAGTGTATTTGCATGGGATCTTCGAAGGCAACAGCAGCCAATAATTCTTTCAGGAATTGGTACTAATGACACAGCATCTAATATATGTATATCTTCAAGTGATGTATGGGAGGTTCAATATGACACTTTTATGAGCTCTTCAAATCGTGCTAATGCTAATATTTCATCTGATCGAGTCTTACCTGTTATGATGTGCTCAGAAGATGGGATTCTTGCTGTTGTTAAACAAGGTATCATTTTTATTATTATTATTATTATTTTTTTTTTATCTCTGTGAAGAAGTTATACTTTAAGCACAAACATACAATAGTTTTGATGTTGATCTATGTAATAGGTGAAGAGCCTACTGAAATACTGGCTGAAAACTGTGCTATTAATAGCTTTGACATTGATCCACAGAACCCTTCGGTATGTATATGCAAATAGCAGTGTACTTTCACAAATAAATGAAAGTGTGTTGCTATTTCTTATTTTTTTTTTTTTTTTTTTGCTTTTATTTTATTATTCTTTTCGTGGTGAAATTTACCAAATACTATACTACAGGATGTGATATGCAGTTTGGAATGGGAGTCGGTTGCCATCTTGACTAGGGCATAGGTGTCAACGATGAATATCAAATATTTTTATAAATTAAAGTTTATGAATCTGTTCTATAGTTATATGCTTTGATGAAACTGGAATTGGATTCCAATTCCAGCCATTGTTTTGTTTGTTGTCAATTATTAGACCCTTTTATTCTAACAAACACTTCTTTCCATAACTGAAGAACATAGCCAAAAACACAAAACCATCTGTAACTTCTAAAACCAAAATTCTAATTTTCAAATGTGGTAATTTACGAATATCTTCAATCTAGTTATTTAAGAGATTAAATAAATTAGATTTAGGTTGTTACAGATAGGCGAATGCAAGGAAAGAAGAGACAACTGAATTGCTGATAAAATTCTAACTCACGAATCCGATATCAATCAATGCATCCTAGAGATATGTAATCAACAAGTTCTAGAGAAATTTTATATAATCATCATTTGATTGTTCTTCCGTCATTCTTGTCTAAATTTTAGTAGTTGGTTCATTGAGCTCAAATAATTTTTTATTAAAATCAGTGTAGATGTATAACTATGTGTATGATATGTTTTTCATTCAAGTAGGGATGAGCAAAAGGACCGAACCGGCCGGAGCCGGATCGT